GGGCGGGGGGGGGGAGGCGGGGCTGCGGTTGGGCGGAGGGAAAAAAGCCTCACTATGAGGGGTAATTTGGGTAATTGAGCAAGTCTTCTACTGAATCATTATCCCTTTTGCTTGAGCCATACATCATCCACATGGACATTTTCGTGGAGCGTGTGGGTAAGATATCCTCCACAGTTCTGTCTTTTGTCCTCGACAAAATTCTGTTTCGTTCCATTTCTGTCCTTGCACTGTACCTTGAATTACGTTTTACTCCATTGTACAGATCCAAAGTATGCAAACCATTGGTTGGAGTAATAATTAGATACAAAATAATTACTCAAACTAATAATTATGGAGACGTTAAGTTGCATGCGAAATTCAAATCTTAATGAAATGACATTCATGCCCTTCACGCAGGACAATTTGCTATAAGCGTCAAGAGCACAACTTTTTTTTTTTTTAATTGTTTTTTCCTAATTGTCAGAATCTCAGTTCGTATAAGTTTGAACAATAGAAAGAGACGTTTGAGAACGGCTAAATCAAAGATTAAATTACTATTTTCCCCCTAATTATCAGTATGTCTCTTCTGATTCAAACAGTACTGGGGAACAAAAAATAAATTAATTAATAAAAATATTTTTATTTTTTATTTTTTAGAAAGTGGTTGCTCGAAGAACGTGAAGGCTAATGTGTTTGGTCGAGAGCCTATGCTTTCGTCATCCTCTTTTGTGCCATCCAAAATTTAAAAAAGTCCCATGATTAAGGTAGAGCATTTGTATTAAACACTATTATTTTAATCAATCCGCGAATCAAATCAATTAATACAAATATAGGATTAGATTCAATAATAATTTTTTTTTTTATTATTTTACATTCTAGAGCTTTGTGGGTTTGAAACTTTGAAATTTGAAAAAGCTAGTAAAGAGTAAAGACAATGTAATGAAAAGAGAGAGAAGAACAAAAGTGAGAAAAACTTGGGTAAGTCAAATCTTGCATTAATCACTCTACGAACTTCCATTCGGATTTTTGCAAGTTTTAGAGCTCGGAAAGTAACCGAGAAAAGTGAAAAAACCTAAGGAAATTTCCAAGAAAAAAGTCCTACCTCTGACCATCTTGGAGGATGGACAATTATTGTTTATGATAATTCAGAAATTAAAAGGGTTCTTCGTAACGATGAAAATCACATCACAATTGTAAAACATGCAGAATACTAATTTTTAATATAGATTTAACGATTGAGAAATAAAATGGTTGTTTTTTTATAATAAAATTTAAAAAAAGTTTTAATTTAAATGTTTTTTTGTAAAATTTGAGTTTGAACTCGAGTTTGAGACTAAATTCGAGTTCAAGTTTTCCCTTCAACTCAAACTCAAATTAATGAACAATATTTTTTTTATTTTTAAAAATGTCAAAACTTTTTCGTTTTAATTCTGATTGAGATGATTTTTTTTTCTATACATTCACAACGAAAAGGCGAATAAAACCCACCCATATACCCTATTAAAATTGTTCATCACCATTGAGTTTTTTTTAAAATATCATCAAAATACAAATTTAAGTTTTGACCCACCCAAACATAAACTCAAAAAGATTCTCAATTCAAATCATAACTTATATGTACACATTCAAACACAAACTCAAGTTACAACTTCAACTCAAATTTAACTCAAAATCATCACTCAAGTCACCCTAACTTAAAAATACAAAAGAATAACCCAAAACTCACCAATAATCGTGTTAAATATAGTAGCTATGTAAGTATTACCAAGAAAAACATTTTTTTCTCTCTAGAAACATGCGAGTAGATATATGACATTGATTATCGTTTAATATGTTTGCTTTGGCAGTGCATGTGCTAAGCACTATTCAAATTGGGAATGCATTTTACAATGACTTTACCACCGACTACATGATAAGCCTTCCTTTTTCGACTTCTAAAACCTTCACAAAAGTTCACTTGTGGACCCAACTTCCCAACGAACAATACAAAGAACGTGAAGACAAAGCAACCGTACTTGTTTTATAATCAATCATCTTTTTTCTTGAAGGATAAGAAACCGCTTTTTTTTTTTCCTGAATGTAAAAGCGTGGTAACATCATTCCTACTCGGAATATTATGGGTCATCAGTTTAGTTATTGTCAGACCTATCTTCTATATATGTACATGTTCTTTGGGTTACAATTTGAGTCTTGTATAATAATTAGAAGTTAGTATAAGCTTTTGTGATCATTAGACTTTTGCTTGTTTTTGAAGGTTCAAATTAATCTACTGTTTCAAGGCTGTGGGGACGAATTTTATCCCACGACATGAATAGATCTTGTCGTCTAGTCAGACAACAGTTGTCACAATATTTTCAAAACGACACTAAACTATAAGGATAAGTTCAAAACCGTTTGATTAGTCACACTACGGATGTAGTTTTGTCATAGCCCGTCGTGTGGGAAGGTCCACATGCGAGTAAAAGTCCTATCTAAAAGAGGACACCTCGATCTCAACCAGCAAGAGAGAGAGAGAGAGAGAGAGAGAGAGAGAGAGAGAGAGAGAGAGAGAGGACAAATGTCTCGCTAATGAAGAAGATTTCCCTTGATTAACCAAAAGATTTGGCCAAAAAAAATAAAAGAGAGAGAAAAATAGAAAAAAAGCAGTAATTTATAAAATAAAATTAAGTAAATATAAATTTTATAACTATTTAAAATAAATAGTTTAACATGTAAATGTTTTATTTAGGGTTAATAAAAAATAAAGGTGAACAAAAAACCTAATAACCTAACAAATTTGAGTAACCCACCCAACCCAACCCATATAAATTTGAATAAGACCAATCTGATCAAGAGATCAACCCAATCCACCCAAGCCGACTATTAAATGGGTGGGTTTAGGTTGAGTTTTTCTTAACTCAAATTAAATATATCAAATTTGTCTTATATTTTACATTATTTACTCGATAATTTAATATGTTCTATGTTGTAGGGTTTTTATTATTGTTTGTTTGTTGGTTTACAACTTATATATTTGAACTTGTTTTGCATATATTTTATTTTTATATTGGTTTATAGCTTATGTGATAATTTTGAAGCTTTATAAGGCTGATATTGTGATGAAAGTAAGTTTTTTTTTTTTTATACATTCCCTATATTTTGGGTTGAATGATTAGTTTTTTTTATTTTTTATTTTTTATTATGTTCAACTCGATCAACCCACCTAAATTTTAATTGGGTGGGTTGATTTTAAACTTTGGGTTGAATGGGTTGGTTAAATTTAAAATCAACCCACACAAACTTAATTAGATGGGTTGAAAAATCTCAAAAACCCACTCAACCTACATGATGTTCACCCCTATTAAAAAATATTTTTTACGTAAATTTTATTTTTACGATTAGTAGGAAACACAAATTTTCACGTAAAAACGGATTTTTTACCATGTAAATTAGTTTTTATTAGTGTAAACTACTAATTACTTTAAATAGTTTTAAATAGGGTTATTTATGGGTTGGGTTGGTGCGGGGTATGATTTTTTCTTCTCCCGCCACAAAGTGTGCGTGTTGCACATATTTAGCCCTAATGATGTTAGAAAAATTTCACAACCCAATGATGTTTGGGTTGGGTTGGGGTGGTGCGGGGTGGGTTGGGTAGTTAGTTTCAACATTCAAAAAATCAAAGACTCAAAGTTCAATCCAACATTCAAAGTTCATTATCAGAGAGAAATAATAACTCAAACATTCAAACAGATAGAATTTCAAAGTTCAATCCAACATCAAACATGAAGCAAAGTAGTTCATCCAACATCAAACATAAAGCAAACATAAATTAGTTTACACTCATAAATTAGTCTTAATATAAAGTAAACATAGAGGCTTAATTCAAACATGAAGAAACTAGAGAGTAGAAATGAGTTGCTTGCCTATGATTAGATATTAGAGTAGGCAAGTTAGAGCGCAGATTGGGTTAGGGTATGCGGGCCATTATAAGCCCAATCCACACCCTGCCTCAAAATTTCAGGCCAGACATTGAATAGGCCGAAAAAAAAAAATTTAATACTAGAAATTATATTTTTCGGATTAGGTTGAAGTGAGGTGGGTTAGGCCTGCGGGTTTATGGACAGCCATAGTTTTAAAATCTTCTATTTATTTAATTTAGTTTTATAAATATGTTATTTACTACATTTTCTGAGAAAAAAAAGGAAGACGGTTGATTGATCCTCCAAGATTACCAACCCATGTTCTGATCATTCTCAAGTAAAAGACAAATGGGCTAATAATGGGCCAGCTTTTAGAAGTCATTGAGCGTTCCAATGGGCCCAATTCTTAATACTATGGATCAAGATCCTAATCCAACCCCCATTTGTGCCGTTGCCCAACCGGCACTCTCAACGGTCAAAAAACTTGAATTCAAATTCTACTCTTATCCGCCAACGGTCATCTCCGCATATTACTTTCAAGCTTCAACAGCGCATCTCTCTCACCCAATTCTGCCTTTAAAATCCACACCACAAAACACACATACTACTAAAAGCTTTTAACAATCAGAAAAAAATACCACCAATTTAAGCGTCAGAAATTTCCAAACGAAAGGTTTAAAGAGAGATAAATGGACGATTCTCATCACAGCGTCTCAACATCACCGAGTATCAAGCGATCAAACGGTAACTCTATACAATCGTTTTCTTTTTCCCTTTTGGTTTGCCAATATGAGCACTGGAAAATTAAATCTTTATTTTTTCCACTAGATTATTGAACCCTTTTGGCTGTTATGGATTTTGAACAGAAAATTTAGTAAAGAACAACAGAAATTGTTTGTTTTTCCACTAGATTATTTAACCCTTTTGGCTGTTACGAACTTTGAACTGAAGATTTACTAAACTACGATAGAAATTCTTTATTTTGTCCACTAGAGTTCTGAACCCTTTTGGCTGTTATGGACTTTAAACCAAGTTTTTTTTTTTTGTTTTTTGGTCAATGTAGATGAGAATGAACAAAACTATCAGCAAATAGGAGCCAATTTGCGGAATCTAAGGAAACCAATGGCAAAGAATTACATGTTGCCAACCATATGTGCAGCTTCCAAGGCAATTACTCCTAGAAAGATCTTAGCCGAAAGAAACGAGGCTTTGGAACCGAGTTCTTTTGACACCAATGTTCAAAAGATCTCAAATTTTGAGAAATCTAATGATTGTTTGTGTCAAACTGAACCCAAATCTCCTTCAGTTTCTCAATGCCATGGTGATGAGAAAGAAGCTGATTTGTCTTCTAAGTCTTATGACCCATTGACGAATTATCTCTCTCCGAGGCCTCAGTTCCTCCGCTACAATCCAAATAGGCGCCGGGAGATCTTTCGAGGCCAAGAAGATGGGACTGGAGAGGAAGTAGATGGGATAGTTAGTGGAAGTGGCTCTTTTGATTCTCTCAGAGGTAGTTTTGATGAGTCTGCTTCGGACACGAATTGTGGTTCTTCAATTTCTGGAGGCGGTTCTCCAGCACAAGAAGGTAAAGAAATTGAGGGGGCTAATGAGGAAATGGAGGAAAGTGATGAGGAGGAAATTGAGGAAGAAGAGGAAGAGAAGAAATGTTGCAACTTGAAAGGGGTTTTCAAAACTTTGCTTTTGTTGGCGGTTTTTGTACTCTCTACCATGTTCATATCTTCCTTGAACTCTTCAGTACCCTTGTCTGATGGTTACTGCAAGGTGCAGAATCACACATTCGAAACTGATTTCGTGAAGAACCTTGAAAGTAGAGACTATTTTTCACATCAAAGAGAGGGAAGACAAAAGGGTTTAATGGAATTGAACAATAATCTCGAGAGCAACTTTTTAATGGAAGAGGAAAATTTACGTGTTACTGAAGGGGTTGAAGAAGAAAATCTCAAAGAAATTAAGCGGACTGATGAGTTGAAAGAAGCTGTAAGTTTGGAATCTGGAGAAGTAGATGATGTTGAAGTGGATGAAACTGATGATCTCGGTGGTGAAATAGTAGCGCCACAAATTGAAGAAGTATTCACTCATATGGTTGAAACTATTGAGAAGGTTGAATTTTCCGAAGATTATCAGACACCAAATTCCTCTGAACATCATGATTCGTGCTTTTATACTTCGAGTTCTAGTCGGATTGAGGTGAATCCAGATGAAGAAGTTCACAATCAGGAAGTGGGAAATTTCGAAATAGTCGAAATTGGTATGCTGGAAAGGATTCTGAAGCAAATGAATACTGAATTCTCTTTCAAAGTGCTCACTGGAGTTCTGTCAATTTCTACAACCATTGCATCCTTATTGTTGTGTATTCGCTTGAGGCCGAAGAAGACCATGAAAAATGACTCTTCTGAACCTGTGCTAGTAAAGCAGGAAAAAGTGAGTGGTAAAGATTCTTCTTCTCTTCTCTCACAGCCTTATATACAAGAGAGACGCAGATCAGTACTTCCCACTAGAGAAGATGAAAACATTGATGAAGTTTACTCTTTTGGGAAGAATCCTTCGCCTTCAATTAATTCAATTGAGAAAGATCCTGACGACGGAGAGTACTCTGAAAGCCGCGCACCAACAGTTGAATTCCTTGGTGAGTTTGTAGTGAGAGAGATCAGGAGTTCTGGTAAAAAAGGCATAACCAAAGGAAGTGAAGAAGAAAGCTTAAGCAATTACTCAGTTTCTTCAGCCAAAAAAATTGGTGGCAAGTCCCATTCGGTTTCAGTTCAAGCTCATCAGGCTCATTCCGAGTTTTCAATTGTCGATTCGCCTTCATATGGAAGCTATACTGCAGAAAAGGAGACCGTGAAGGAAGTGGTGAGTTTCCTCTTTTTGTTTAAGCTTGGCAATCAAATATTTTTTGGATAGTTCTCTAGATCATATTTTTTTCTCCCCCCATAGTCAAATTGTTTTGTTGTTTTTGGATCAAAATAGGTTTCTACTACTCCAACAAGGTTATCAAGTAGAAAAGGAGAAGTCATGGCAATAACTCCAGTCAGAAGATCAAGCAGAATCCGCAACCTCATGTCTCCATGAATGATCATAAATAATTAATTCCATCTCTAATTTTTCTAATTATCTAACTTGTGCTGTTTAGTGAGCTCGACTGTAGTAGAACACAACTGCTATTCTTAATCTGCAAGAAGAACTTTTGTTATTATTTTTACTATTTTCTTTCATTTGTTTTGTTTCAACTTAGGCAAACGAGTGATCTACTCATAGTAATTGACAACACTAAACAAAATATGTCGTTCATGATTCTTATCCTTATTATTATTTTTAATGTTAGTGAATTAATCATCTCTCCTTTCTCATGTTATCTATTGCTTTTTTTTATCACTTCGTCACTAGCAAAGTGAAAGTTGTCATCATTATTCCTTTGCCAATAGTGGGAATTAATAGAAAATGTTTCAATGATCACGAAGTGGATTCCATTGGCAAGAAAAATATTGTTGAGATATTGGGATATTCAGTTGGCTGCAACTCTGAAATCCACAGAATCACCCTTTTAAAATAACACATGTATCCATTTATTTATCTATTTGAACACAATCTATTTATATGTTCATATAGGTATAGGTGCATCAATATTCGTAAATGTCTAATTTGTATGCAGAATCACTACTATATCTACACATTCGAATCAAGTTCTTCGCTTTTCTTTCAATAATGAAATCATGTGTACACATACAAAGTTTGAGTCTGAATAAATGATAAAAACTTATATGGTACAAAAATGCTCCTATTTTATTTCCTCATAACGTATTGAAAAGAAGACAATTTGCCTGAATCATGATATATATATATATATATATATATAAATATAAGATCACGATTTATAAGATTATACACATACATCAGAAGTCTTTTGTCCAGGAAGTGGAGGGGGCCTATTAGTACCTAAGAAACTAACGGATTTTCTAGTTGTAAATGAGAAAGAACCTCGTGAGGCCTTCTTAGAAATAGTGGCCTTAGGAAGAGTGTATAATTTGTGGGCGTCTAAACCACCTCCATAACTCTTACACGCCTTCATTTTCCTTCTATTGTTATACGGATTTTCTTTCTTGGCAAGATCTTCTATGCTCCTCACTTTGGATAGAGATGTGAATGACTGTGACTTACCTTGGAAATACTTCGACAGACCTCTCCTGCAACACGTGAAATCACAAAAATTTAGCAACATGAATCCAACAACACTTTTTTTTTCTTTTCTCTTTCTTTCCAAACAACAATTTGGTCTGAAAATAAAAACTTACTTGATGGGTAGTTGGGCCATGAGCTCTGACAATTCATACAAAGGTCCATTAGAGTGTGAAGATGAACATGATGAAGATGCATCTTCTACCAAGTCTGATGAGGATGTTGATCTGTTTGAAGAAGTGGAATTCCCAATAGAAGATGTAGATGTTGTGGGGTTGTAGGTAGTATCATCATCAATATCATGATCATGATCATGATCACCTTCCATGATCACCATACAACCCTTCTTCGCATAATCATCATATAAACCAGTAGAAAATTGATTTTGTAGCATCTCTTTTGTACAACATTCATCCATTGATAGTATAAGGAGGGGAAAGAGAAATGATAACAATAAGAGGAACAAAGAACAAAGTGGTTTTGGTTATTGTTCAAAAAAGTAACTTATATATCCATGTCCTATCAACATAAAAAGGCATTTATAGGGAGAGACGTGATTATAGACAAAAAGCAAGTGTTATTCAATTCAATGGATGGGAATGGTTGCCTCCCAATACAGCAATATGTTCATCACAGCCTGAGGCATGGAAGTTGTATGGTTTCACAGTAAAAGAAACGTTGAAAAAAGTAAACGTGTGTTATCCCATATTAAAAGTGGATGAGAATGTAAAGTGATTTATATATATAAAAGATTAAAGATCTAATAAGTTAATTTTTAAGTGTGTTGGGCCAATTTCGTGTGTGGTATCTCCCCAACAAGTGGTATCAGAGTTAATGATTCGTATGTGCTAAGCGATCACACTCGGTTGCAGTTCCTACGTTGCCTCCCGTGGAGAGTTGGTGTTCCTGCAGTTTGGTAGAGTATTAGTGGACTTGCATAGTTTCGACTCTCTTTCCATGCCTGAGTTGGCTCTCAATTACTAGAACTTTAATTTGAGGAAGAACTTAGTGAAACACACACATAAGGGGAAGATTATTAAAAAAATACATGTGTGTTGTCTTATATAAAAAATAAATAAAAATGTAAAATAATTTATATATATATAGAAGAACCTAAAATTTAATACCAACAAGAAGTAACCCTTATAATGAGTTGTTTGGATTACGTTATGGACGCGTGGCCTATATATTAAGGCATTACAAAGATTTCATGCACTCTACATTCTCCCAAGAAATGTCCCTTGTTTTTTATTCATTGAAATTGTTTTTATTTCCTTTTTGTTATCCAATTTATTATTCATAGCCTTATCTTAAGATTCCTCATTATCTTCTCACATGGTTTGAATTTGTTGACATTTCTTATTGTACGAACGGAAGAGGATAAGCACTTTATCTTTTGAAGCCATCTAGTCAGTTATCCACATTATGTATGAGTCACCCATCTATTCCAAAATTGACCATATTTTATATATTAATTCTTGCAAGTCATGCATTGCATTAGTTTTTTCTTTATTTTATTTTATTTTATTTTTGCTAAAGAATGTTTTTCATTAGTTTGTCAAAAAGAAATTCCTTCTAGATGTACTGCACACCCCAGGAAGCATTTCCTTGCTATGTATAGACTTCTTCCAACACTGCCTTGTTTTGCAAGAGCCAACTACAAGTCAAAGTAAACATTTGTCCAAATCTATCTACTCTCAAAAAATGATATAAAATAAGAAATAAATCATTTTGTGCCGAAAACAATTTTTTAGGAAAAAAAAAAGAAGTGTGCATATCGACCTAAATGTTCTAACCTTCCAGGGATGTGAACTTCTTCATTTTCTTAAGAGATAATTAGGCAATCTCTATGGTGCAACACCTAAAAAAAACTCACAAGTAGAATCTGTATTTTTAACTGTTAGATTAATTTTTTAACGGTTAGATTTATACAGTTTCATATTAAAAATTTATAACGCGCCGTACAAAACTACTTTTGCTGCAGATCTGACCGTTAAGAAGTTATTCTAACAGTAAAAAAACAGTACTCCACTGATGGTTTTTTTTTTTTTTTTTTTTTAAGGTCTCACAGTAAAAAATGAAAGATAATTAAGCTACATCACTTTTTAAATTTTTAGATTCACTTTTGCTACCTTTAAAAGTTATTGCAATATAAATCACATTCTTTCCCACACGTGTATATATGAGTAAATTTTTAATAGTTAAAATTTCATGATGGTTACTCATTAATATATGAGGTGAAAAAAATTTAATTTTATTAATTATCATAAATTTTTTCTCTATATATATGAATGATGTATTTACATGCGTATATTTTGTGTAGACAAAAATACCATCTTAGATATTGTAGACAGGTTACAGACAGTATGACGATACGTTACGAGTTCTAGAGACATTTTTTGGGTGTTTCAAATAGGTTTGTATGGTCTTTTTCTGCATTTTTTTTTGTCTAAATAAAAAGTCAAACCAAAAAGTTGTGGTTCTATAAGGAGTTTTGTAAAGAAATTACGGCGGTGATTTACATACAATGAATGGAAGGCACAGCGCAGCATCAACCGAAAATAAAAATAATAAAAAAAACTATTTGGGATTTGGCCGACAGTCCGACACAAATTATCTTTGTTTTTGTTATTTTTTTTTTGTTTGCCTCAAACTTTAAAATATTCTTATTTTTCTTTGAGGGTGCACATTATTTTATTGTTTAAAGGCTTTTTCTTTAGTCCTGCTATTTTTATAAGGAAAATTTTCTTGATTGTAAAAGGTTAAAGAATTAGTGTAATCGATTAAATAATTAACATAATTTTTTTATATTTAGTTGTAATAATTATTATTTTTGAAATAAAAAATTATTTTTAAATATATAACAAATAAAACAGCTCCAAATAAAAGTTTGTGTTTATAAAAAAAGAACATGACAAATATAATTCTTAACAACAATATTATTTAAATTTAAAACGACAATTAATTACGATAAAATGATTGATATAAATAATAAAAATAACATTCGTTTATTAATATGTTTTTTAATATTTTTAATATAATTATTTATGATAATTATACATAATAATCATTTATTATTATATGTTTAAAAATAACTTTTAATTTTCAATTTTAATTTTCAAAATAATAACTTACGACTTAATATAAAAAAATTAAATTAAGCTTTTAACCACACATGTATGAATCTATGATTTCCCATGAGAACTTGTTCCCCATTTTTAAAGTGGGGTATTATAGACAACTCTTGTTGAAAATAAAGTCCATTTGGTTAGAATATTCATTCTCTGATTCGAATCATGATTCATAGTTCACTATAATATTTTTTTTTATAAAAATACACGTAAATAAAAAATAATTATAATAGAGATTCTGAAGATACCCATCCAATGGCCTGCTTTGGCCGGGAACACAATAGAGATGGCTTTGAAGTTGGACAATTCATGGTAAGAGCCTCTGACCATAATTAAGTAGCAAAAGGAAAAAACGAATATATAGGCAATTTCCGCATAAATTGACAAGTATAAAACGAATATATAGGCAATTTTCGCATAAATTGACAAGTATAAAACGAGTATATATATTTTCTTAGTTTTTTAAACCCACAATACACATCTAGATAATTTTTTTAATTCACTATTTTTCCAAAAAAAAAAAAGCATCGATCAAAACATTATGAACTCAACTAAATAATGTGATTATTTTTTTAAATTTTTTATTATAATAAAATTTGAATTTTAAATTTAAATAATGAACGTTTTAATTTAAATTTTTAATTTAAACTAGATGTGATATTATGTAAAAATTTCTTATTATAATAAAAAAATTAAATATAATTATTTTTAAAAAAATTTTATTTTAATAAAATTTAAATTCTAACTCGAATAAGAAAAAAATAAAACCTTAATCTATTCTGAAAGAAACAAAACGAATTATTGTTGTCGTCGTTATTATTATTATTATTATTATTATTATTATTATGAGTTTCTTACGCTCTTTCCTACCCAAAATGTCCACCAGTCTTTTGGGCAAATGAGACAGTAATATGAGAGAAAAAAAAGGGCAAAGAGATGTGTACAAAGGAAGACCTAAGACCCTGTTTTGGTCTAAAATTTTTCTGATTTAAAAACATCGGCTTTGTGAAATGAAAAAAAAAGACATATTTACATGGAAAAATTGATACGAGAAGCGGAAAAAGAAATGTGCGGAAGATGATTGTTGAGATTTCAACGATGAAGATGAAATACAACTGCCCACCTTCCCCAGAAGTTGATTTCGCAAGGAACTCTTTCGGAACAGAGTGCACTGATTGTAGCACAACGCCGATACACACAATCCCTGCCTTTTAACCATTTTAAGTCTTTATGCTAATAAACTCTAATAATTTCATTTCAGAAGAGAGAGCAATAGAAATTGACGAGCCAAAAAATCAGAAAAATCGAAGCACCAAACACACGAAAAGACAGAGAGAGGGGGAAAAGGAAAGCATACAGAATAGTGTTAAATTCGGAGGCTGCGAGAATATGTATATATAGAAGCCGATTAGGGTTTTTAACAAGGTTAGATTCCCAATTAGGGCAGAGGTTCATGGGCCTTTAAACCATACGAGATCCATTTTGTGGCCCAACCCAATATTTAGCCATGTTTGTCATTGGGTCATCATGATGAGGCAATTTGAAGCATGCATTTGTTGGAGTAGATTTTGCAGTTTATTGATTTAAGTTTAAATGTTATTTTATATGAAAATTTTTTATTGTAGTAAAAAATTTAAATGTGACTGTTTTTGAGAATTTTTTACTGTAATAAAATTTAAATCGGTAAAATGAACAACATCTTTAATTATACAAGTGTCAACTCAAACCAATTCTAACAATTAAAACCGCGAGACAAAACTCGTCGGTATGACCACAACAAGGAGAATCGACTTTCTTGGGTGTTTCCCGAAGATTCGACTAAAATCTGTTGGAGACGACTCAACTCCTAAGGGTCGATCACTAATGAGTTGGTGTAGTAATAAGTAAAATTTTCTTTTTTCTCCTCTAAAAGATTTGATATTCCATAATTCCACTTTAAGATTAACGTGTTATGCGATATTTAGTGTATGATAACATGAGTAAAAATTAAATTCATACTTTAAGTACAATTGAGCCACATCCTTTTATTCTATTAATGGGCTCTTAAATTTTTAAAGTGACGAAAGAAATAGGGACGTGATAACACTAGTCATTCTCTTTTTCATTAAGGAGGAAAAAACAAAAAAAACTCCTGAGAATATTGCTTTATTAATAATCCCTTTTTCATTAGGGATTGACTACTTACGACTCCAAGAATTAACTTTGACTATTCCACAATGATGTCATGTTGACTAAACTTGAGAATATTGCTTTATTCTTCCGGTATTGTTTACATACTCGAGCGGAGCTGCGGAGGTTCCAGGAGATGTACAGTTTTTTCTCCAAAGGGGACATCGTAGATTGTCCGTAGGTTTCTTCCATTATATTTTTGAGTTATGATAATTTAAATATAAATTTTAAATTAAATTTGAGTTATAATTTAAGTTAAAATTATAATTTAAGTTTGTATTTGATTGTGTATATTTAAATTATATTTTAAGATGTGAATTTTTTTGAGTTTGTGTTAGGATAGATCAAAACTTGAGTTTGTATTTAGGTAGTATTTTAATAAAAATTCAATAATGATAGAAAATTTTAATATGATATATGGGTAGAATTTTATTCGTCTTTTCACTGTGAACACATAAATAAAGAACCATTTCAATAGGAATTAAAACGAAAAAATTATAGAGTTTTTAAGAATAGAAAAAACACTGTTCATTAACTTGAGTTGAAGAGAAATTTAAACTCAGATTTTAACTCCAAACTCAAGTTAAAATTTAAATTCAAACTCAAATTTTACAAAATAACATGAACTTAAATAAAATTGTAATTTGATTTTAAATTTTTTTTAAGTTTGCATGCAAACCAACAAACCCTGAAACATCCTCAAAACAATATCCGTTTTACCATTGGTCCGTAATACAAATTGATCGTGGATTTTACCATCTATATATATCCAACGTTAAATATAGATTCTAACAGAGAAGTTCCACTTTCTTTAATATTAAAGGGTCTAAATCTTAAAAAAAATTATTTATACGTTTTATTTATTTTATGGTTTTTATTTGGCAGCACTATCTCGCAATTGTGAGGTTACAATATAGAGCTCAATTATCATATTTTTTTGTTATAGTCATATTTTATTGTGATGCTTGTAATAATATATCACAATTGATAAATGATAAATGCCAATTCTAGATTAAAATGCATATTGAGATTGATAAAAACATGCATCACTCAGTTAGAAAGGCCTGTGCGTAATAAAATTTATCATATAAAATATTTTAATTTTCTATACATTTAAAATTTTAAAAGTTAAAAAGAATCTGGTAATTAAAGTAAAATCTTATTCTATTATTATATATATATATATATATAGAAGAACATATAATTAATACATATTTATTACATCATATTAAATCTAATGGTCGAAATAAATTCATTCTAAATTTAATTATTCAAAAAAAAGGGAATTATTAGTTGTAGCCTTTAGATTCGTTAGGACTATTAATATTAAATTAAATATATTCCCTTTTAATAACCCTACTTGCATGCATATCAATCTTCAAATCCTCAAAAATGAGATCACGCAACCATGAAGATCATTTCATTTCCTCATTCCAAAAACAATACTTTTAAATGTATCATGCCATAAGCAAAATTCACCAATATTTTGAAATTACAGAATCACAGATCAATATATGAGCAAACCGTGGGGGTGAATAAATACACAAATCAAAGAAACATGTCGGAAGAAATTACTAAGAAAATCCTAACATAACAACACTCATTTCTTCTGTCCGCAACTGGTTTTTTCAGGAACACCTCTAGTACCACCAGTTCAAGGTCATGGCAAGAAAACAATGCAAGCCCAAAATACAAAAAGACACAAGAATGGAAACCATGAATCAGGGATAATTTAGAAGTTCTGATCAATCAGGTAGTCTCCCAACCTCTCTACGATCATGTTGCACTGCCCTGGAGTCAAAGGTTCGTCATATATACCGAAAACCAGAGCTAGGTCGGTTTTCTTCACAGTGATGCCACCAGAGCCCTGCAGCATAAAGGAAATCAGATCAAACTTCTACGCAAATGGAAGGGCACAAATGCAATAAGAAAAGGATGGACCTCATAATTCAAAGAGCACATTTAAACTGTGTGGGACATAATAAAACTTTATGAAAAGAAAAATGCATAGACAATCTGGCATCCATGTGTTCGTGTACTACTGTTTTTGCGAGACTGGCACCAACATGGATTGTTAATTACATGTAGACCTCAAGAACAAAGGGAAAAAAAATAAGGTTGATAATCTGTTGGAGATGGTCCACACGTGGGACTCATAAAGATCTGTAATATTCCTTTTAAGGACATGCCAGGCTTAAAGGTTCATGATTAGAACCAATCAAATCAGGAGGTGAAGTTGTTGACTGGGACAGAAAAGTACTCTAATGGATGAATTCGATGGCTAGCAATCTTAATTTATCATATTAAAAAAAATCTAAAAATCAAAACGCGCAACAACAACAAAACCTTCTACTACAAATGGCACAACATAACATTTTTGGGGCAAAATTTTCATATTTAACACCTTAGTGCTTTGAACGCGCTCAGGGAAGTTTTATTCTTTGCCAATGGTTATGATTCATGAACATGCCTGATAAGTGACGACTACAGGCATCTCAAACTCACACTCATGTAATTGTGATCCTTTCAAAATACGTAAAATTGCTACGCCACACATATATTAGTAGTAAGACATTTGCAAAGCAATAATTGATTAAAAAACAACTAAATCCTTTGAAAAAATGATAGTTTCATTATTCATGCATATCCAACCAAAGAACGTTTTATTTTAAAAGGAAAGACAAGATGACATCAAAATAATCAAGTGTCACATAATGAAAAGAAACCAATTGCAAGCACCAAACAGGAGAAATAGAAATAAACCAAACCTTCTTTCCACGAATAACAGCTCCAGGTTCTCCCTGAATAACCATGTACTTCGTCCCACCTAGGTGTAATCCCGTTGGCGCAAGAGATCCAGGTTCACCGAAATCTTTCTTGATTGCATCAATTTCTTCAGGCTTAAACTGCATATAAATTGTTAAAGAAACATCAACGAAATGGCAAAAAATCAAGCCAAATGCCTAACTATTCAAATTGAATTAGCGCATTGGAAGTAACCAAACACACGAATGCGTAACTATAGTGGTCCTAAGGCAGCGAAAATTCTCATCAGGTAAACGACATTGAACAATTCAATGCAAATCACCCAAATAGACGAGAATCCAGTTACACCATTATTATAATATTTTAATTGACATGCCTATGTGATATGATATTTTAATTGACCTAGCATTTTAATTTATATGACCTGAAATTAACGAAGCTGAGATTAAAGAAGACATGAAAAACGAAAAAGGAACACGTGGGTCGAATCAATACACAAATGCATATATTCCACACCGTTCCCTTCTTATTAATCGATATATAATTGTCAAAAACCATAAAGTAGAATAATTTCTGCTTATTGACTTTTTTTTTTCCGGCGATCAAACGGATTAAGAAATGCTGGACATATTTCAGCAGAAAAGATTAAAATTCCACATGAAATCAAATAAACTGCACAAGCTGATCGGGAAAACACACGTAGATCCAAAAGAACTAACAACAAAACAATTGGACTGACGATATTTTGGGCTCTTGCTTCAACTTCTATACACAAAATCAATTTTCCCGGGAAAATGAAGGCGATTCGGATAACATCACAAAAATCGATCAAATTGAAACGCAAAAACAATTACATTTTTTTTTTATTGAAAACCGAAAAATTCAACAAACGGAAAAAACAGAACAAAACAAAATAAGAGTAAATCAAACACCAATGTCAAAGAGGTAAAAACGAAAAATAAAAATAAAAGAAAGACGAACCTGAGGGAAGCTGGAGCTCTGCGCCCACACACTACCGTCGAGGCCGATGATGGCCGCGGAGGTGAGGTGGTGACCGTCGATCTCGCACATCAGGTGATCATCAACGTAAGTTTGCCACGACATTTTCTGATTCGAATCTCACCGTCGATTATTTATCTCTCGTTTAAGTTTTGTTGTTTTCGTTTCGACGTTGTCGGAGTGAATGGATGTTTTGAGGCTCAAAGAAGCGGGGGAATGAATAAATAGCCGGTGGTAATGGTGAGAAAGGAGAAATAGGAAATTTCGTTGCTGGGGCCCAGTAGGTTGAAGACCGTTTTGATGAGTCGGTCGGTGATCTTATCTCAGCCGTTGATTTCCAACACGATTGAATGAGTGCCGTTCACGTTCGCCTTAGTCTGAGTCACAGAGGAAGAAGATTTGCCTTTGAACGCTCCCACCCATCCGACCACTCGACACGTGAATTTTAATAATCTTTACGGATAATCTTGACAAATATTACAGTGCATCAATCGATATTTTTATATTTTATTTTTAATTCATAATTTTTTTAATTAAATAATTACATTAATAAATAAATATTTATCAGAATAAAAATTTAAATTCGTACACTCTTATAGATAAATTATCTATTTTTTTTTCAATCTTTTTATTCTTTCTGAGAAAGAAAAAAGACTGAGCTAAGGAACTTTAATCAATTGATTAGCCGCGGTTGTCACGTGGCTCCCACGTGATCCTACATTTTCTTAATGTTTAAGAATGAGATGTTGATTGCACAAGTGTTTTTATTTTTTATTTTTTTATTCTTCGGAAGATGGTGCAACTTTCTTGAACAATCAATCTCATGTTTGTTTAGATAATAATTTTGGGCGACAACAATATAATAGCTCCTTTGAAAAAAAAAAAAAAAACAACAACAATCAATCTCAGGTTTTGACGCTTGTTGAAATAGTGGTTTTAACTTTCTGTGGCATTTTCCTTCCTCCCCAAGAAATAGGCAATACCATAAGGAAACAAATAAAAGAAAAGAAAAAGAGAAGCAAGGTTACGTTTGATGATTATTTGAAGCCTCTTTTGAAAAGAGCATAATAAAATCAGGTTTACAAGAAAATAAAAGGTAGTTATTTTATGTTGGAAACGGATCCGGTATCTACAAAACTCGTTTCAAGACATCAGCGGCGAAAATCCAAAACATTCTTCATGGAGCTTACTAATACGTCATTTCATCTGCAGAATCAGAAACCATCAACGCAAGCTCATGTTAAGTTTAATTACGCCATGCGTCAAAAGAAAAGGGCTGATGTTTGAGGTGTAATTTGCAAAAGTAAATCAACACGAATGCGTTAGGAATTAGGAAAGAAAGATGCCACAAAAGAATAATTATACCTTCGCCGTCAACGTCCGCGTTAAAATCATCTTCATCATCGTCAAAGTCCACATTCTGCAAGATTTTTGCAGTAAAAGGAAAAAATTAATTTCGTTTCTACATTGTTAAAGAACAATGCATTCATACACAATGGCCCTAATAGAACAGCTACATGCAAATGAGAACCAAAATACAGAATTGAAAGAGAATAAAAGCTGAGGCTGCTTTTTAAAGATGCATTATTGATTTCTTTTTCTCGAAATTGACTTCATAGAATAAGAGAATCAATATGAATGAAAACGAAAATAGGGTTGAAAGGGGCATAAAAGTTGAACTGCTTTCACAAAGGTGCACGCATTATTGGTTTCTTTATCTTTTTAGCTATGCCACAGCCACAGTTCTCTAAATAAAACTATAACTAAAAACCTATGAAAATGCTCGTAGGCCGCGGGCTAGTATCATGAGAGCATCACATCAAAAGAAGACTTCAGAACTTAAATCAGCAAAAATAGCTAAATGTTAAAGCAATGGCACATTGTGCTTATGTTATGGAACCTTTTTTTTTCTTCAAGAAGCCAAACAAATTATAAATTGAACTGCCAGAACTGCTGACCAGAATTTCAACCTTAGCAGTTCAATACACAAATGGACAATTCCTTGGATACTTGGGAATAAAAGAAAAAAAAAAAGACCCATCGAAATCTGCCACTTTATTTGCTTCACGTCATAACACATATTATGATAACTCATGCGGCGAAACTGTGTTAAGTTTCGTAACTAGTAAACTACTAGCAAGAAGAAATTGGCTTAGCAGAGGTTCTATGGTACTAAGATTGTTTTGTGACATCTTCTACTACCCGTCATTATCACTTTCACTGATAACTCAATTCTTTTGGAAGTTCTGTCATTACTCTGTCATGGTAGGGGCACATTGACAGGACACGTTTGTCCTTCCACATGTAGAGGTTATAACCGTAAAAGAAAAGTGCATCACAGTAGGGGAAGAAAAGGTAGGGAGGGGGGAGATAAAATCAATGTGGGTTTTGTAGGCAATAATATCTAAAAGTGGTATTAATTCTTAGTGTAAATATTTGTCCAGTAAGAACCTGATTGTAGTCATCATCATCACTGGGCTCTTCTTCAGTCTCTTCGTTTTCTTCATCTTCATCCTCATCCTCATTTTCACCTTCTTTCTTTTCCTTTTCTCCTCTGCCATTTTGTGCCTAGTCATGTGAAAAGAGACACAAAATAATTCAATTAACAATAGTAACGCATTGCATACCAAATTTTTAAGAGAGTCACAAGCCATATTTTGTATTTATGTTACAGAACACAATTGCTAGATTCTATTTCCGAGGAGTGCAATATTTTGAAGTTTGAACAGAAACAGCTTAGGTAAGGGGTACAAAAGCCAATTGGTCTTTTACCTGACGCTGTTCAAGCTTTTCAAATATGTCTAATTTTTGCAACTCTGCAATATCAAACATTTTAATCAGTATGGTTCAGAATGTAAAAACTTCACTTTGTAAACAGTAGATATAATGAAAATATTTTATTTCACCTCAAGGACAATATCTTTAACAAATGAGGGGAAATGAGAGAGAGAGAGACCACAACAGAAAGCAAGCAAATAAAAGATTCCATCTCACAGTACCAGAATCAGGGTTCCACCGAACTCTCTTTCGACCAGGCTGACTCTGCCATCCCTTTGAACCTGAAATTTCACATTAGCCATAGGAGTCAATAGAGCCAGAACAAGATGCAAAAGATAATCTACAAAGCCAAAGGAAAAGACAGGGTCTTCAAACCTTCAGTTAGTTCTACGGGAAAACTTTTGTGCACTAAAATTTGCGAAAGAGAATCTCGTTTGATTGTGGTACCAACTTTGTTCCTGTCAGAGACCTTCTCTATCTCTGCATTCTGTCCCTCTGAAACAAGATGAAAAACTTCCAATTCCATTATCAGTCAATTATGTGAAAAGCATTAAATAATTTTAACGTGCTTTAGTGCTCACTCTTTGAAATGGTCGCCTCAAGGTAGTAAGGAGAGGCTTTCCAATAATTAAGCAACTTCTGACTTCGACGGACTAGCATTTCTTCCACAGTCACACCTTTTATATCAGGCAGTTCAACGTCCTGAAAATCACAAGGACAGCTCTCATATAAACGTGAAGAGTGGTAACGCAACTTCTAAATCAGACAAACATAGAACATTTCCAGCTTAGAAATCTTAGCTACAAAAAATACAAAAACCAAGTACCGGAAAATAAACGAAGGGCTCCTGCTTAGCATATCCAATACCACCGCCTCCACCTCGAAATCCACGTCCCCTCCCACGCCCTCTATATGCCATTTACCTTGCCTAAAAAAAAAAAAATCATAAATTTTTTTTTAAATTTATAGATAAGCTGTAATAATCAACAAATAAACTTAGTCCATCAAAAAAATCCATAAATTATAAAATTAAAGAAAGTTATTTTCCATGGTTTTGGAACTCGACGTCTATGAAACTTATGGGGAACAAAAACCTTCAAAGGTGAAAAAGGGGCTCAAGGGAACGTTGTTCTCTCTTGTAGTAGAAGGCAAGAACAGAAAATAAAAAGAAGAGAAATAAGAAGGGGGAAATACTGATTGGAGAACGGAAAAAGTAGGGTGCCACTGCTCAGTCACCGTATGGCCGCTGCTCAGTCGTCGGAGTGGGCGAAGATAGGGAAGTCGGGAGTGCTGTTGAGAGTTGTTTGATTGATTTAGGGTTTTAGAACCGTTTATTCTCTTTTTCAATCCATATTAAAGCCCAAAGCTTAAATGGGCTAAACTCTTACGGTGATTTATGCATATAGCAAAATTTTGATATTAAAGTTTAAATTTAGTAAAAAATTTAAAATATTACTAAGATTTTATATAATTTTTATGTCATTAATTTAATGACTATATATACAGTACAAAATATAATATTATTATAATAATTACAATGTCATTTTTATTACATTTATAATATTCTAAAAATTTTCCTAAATTTCAACTTATGAAATTTTGCACCCTAGGCTGTTGTAGTGTTATTAAAAAGGGCCGAGATGCTAAAACAGCCCATAGGGCTTATCTACGTGAGTCTCGCGCCTCATATGCCTTGAGCAAATGGAGTTAATCACATATACCTCTCATCTCTTATTATATCATTTCAAAAAGAGAAAAAAAATAATCTCTTATTATACGGGAGAAGAGAAAAAAAATTTCCACAAATTGTGAATTCACACAAAAGTCTGTAAAATACTTTTATGCTTTATTAACTACTCATAACCACTATATAAATAGGGTATATTTGTAATAATATTATCTCAATAATCATAAAACAGGCAAATTAATAAAATTATTAAATTAGAGAAGTATTTAAACATGAGTTTAAAAGTGATCATTTTATGTAAATTAGTTGAAATACGTGCTACACGCGTGAGTATTCAATATGTTATATTTTTTATACACATATATTTAGAAAAAAAAATATAAACAACAAAAAAAATATTTAGGCAAGCATATATTTAAAATTATTTAAATAAAAGCATATTAGGGGGTAAAGTTTAATAAGGCACAATTAGAAAACACAATATTAAAAAATGAACAATAAAACAAAAAGATCAAAATGCACATTTGAAATTAGATAAAGGTGTTTCAATAGTCATGATTATAAATATGAGATCTTTTATATAAAAAGACAAATAAAATATTTTGTATGTTTTATCTTATGTTTTGTCCATCCCTATTTAAACACTCATTCACACTCAGTGAATGAAATAAAAAAAAAATTTATTGCTAAAGGCAATAGGTAGACAATAGTGGGGGAAAATAAAAAAAAAAGGCAATAGGTAGGTAAAAAAAAGAAAGAGAGAGAAGAAAAATAAAAAAGGTCTAAAAATGAAAAAAAAGAAAGAAAAATAGAGAAAATAAAAAAAATAATAATAAAAGACAGAGGATGCCAACATGTGGCCTCCATAGAGGCCAACACATGGTCTTTTTAGAAGCCAACTTCTTAGTTCTTTTAAGTATGCATAGATACTTCAAGGAATAACGCCTCAAGGCGTACGCCTTATTGATCACATGAATATACAGTGTGTGTAATATATACATATATGATTATATTAGTTGGATGTGACAAGTTTTCAATGATTACCTCTCTATTAGTAGTTATCATGAGATATATAAATTTGATAATATGACGTGATAAAATCTAAATTTATTAATTATCGTAAATATTTTTAGTTAACTATTAAATTTATTATAGTTATTAAATTAATATCTTATGAATAAAATAATAATACACATTGGTGTGTAAATATTATTGTAACGATTCTATTAGCTAGCAAGGAGCCAAACACAATATTTTTTTTTACCCGAAAGTCAGAGGTAAAATCTTTTTTTAATTCCGAAAATGGACTTTAATATATATAACTTGTTCCAATATTAAACGTACAAAGCTCCCAACACACATGCAAAGTCCTCGAAAAAAAAAAAAGAAAGAAAAAGAAAAGAAAATTATTCAAAAAAGAAAAGAAAATCAACAACGTATACACGTAATACAAATACTTAGGACGCACAGAACTTATAATATATAGTAACAATATAATTTGCTGTCGATCGGTATGCAATACATGATTTAGTAACAATATTAATTAAAACAGATCGATAATTAACGCGTACTTTCAACTGACGTAGTACATGGGGTTAGGCAATTTGAAGGTTCTACTGCCGGCATTTGTACCCAAAAGATCACTCCACTGATCCCCTATGTTTCCAGCAATTCTATATCCAGCTTCCTCTAATTTCTTTCTCTCAGCTGATTTGTAATCACGGGCTGGTCCATAATAACCAGGATCTCTGCAACCATTAAAACAGTTAAAATTAATACCGGCCATCACATTAATAATTAGTTAATAGTAATTAATAAGAAAAAGGTCATTCATCATTTCTTCACAAAGTGGTATTGGAGACGAGCAATATGACAAGAAATTCAAGACGTACGACCCATCTGGACTGCACAAAATTACGCAGTGATAGTATTTAATAATTTCATATATATATATATATATATATATATATCAATTAGAGTACCAATTAGACCATGCAACTTGATATTTTACGTATTATAAGAGCTTACTTGAATATAACTTGTTCCCAAGTTCTGTATCCAGCAATTTTTAAAGTATTCTCAACCGCGGATCTCTCGTATTCTCTTCTCCCTGATAGGAATATAATCTTAAACCCCAAAGATAATAACCTTTTGTACAACTTAAGACTCTTTGGCAATGCCGGGGCGTTTTCTGTCAGAATCCATTCATGAAACGATGTGGAGTCGTAAGGCTTCACCCTGAAATTATATCATTAGTAATTCGAATTCATACAGGGTGGCCGTGTAACAAATAAAATTATGGTAAATATAAGAACAATGGAAACCATTCATAAACATTAAATAAATATGCATCAATTGTGTGATTAAATGAAATAATATACGTACCATTATTTCCGTGTGAGTTAGATATATATATATATATAAATATATGAAGTATAAAGTAGTAATTATATGAATATATATGTATAATAAATATACGTACGTAGAGAGAGAGAGAGAGAGAGAGATTATAGCGCTCATTTCTCTGGTGTCTCACAAATAAGTGGAGTTGAATTTACGGATTAGTGGACCTACCTGATTATTAATTTTTTATTGTACTTCAAATTTACTCATGCTTTCTCTAGATCACTTTTAAATTATATCAAACGGCGAAGATTTGATGAGGTACGTAGTATCTGATGAAGTAGTAGTACGTACCCAAAAGTTTTTTTTTTCTTTTTCATAAAGAAAACAATAATATTTGTTGACAACTTCAATAATATTTGTTGAACCATGCACGTGACTAAAGCAATAAAGATATGGGGCATATATATATATATATATATATATATCATGTTAAAACAAAAACGAAACACATATTGGTCCACTTTGATTATGAATTAATATTTTCTACAGATAGAAAATAGTAAAGGAGACGGATAGTTTGAGCAGTATAGATACGTACCCAAATCCATGTTTGAGATAATAAGGTAGGTTGGAGAGTGCAACCTCATCTGTACCAAAGATCCAAACATCTTTGCCGTCACCTAAAAGGGGATAGCTCTTGGCATAGAGATAAGCTTCCTTAGTAACCACTTTTGAGTCCTCCCTGTACCGCGCGCCGAGCATGTACCGCCCTACATGGAGCTCACATTCATCCGGAATCGTTTTCCAGCCAATGATGTTGTTGGTGTCGACTCCGTATTGCCAACTCGAGCAGTAGCACCATTCTCCGTTGTCGCCGCGGGAACGGAGAAAGTAAATTTTGTTGTTTTTAACAGCATCACCGAAATCAGCTTGGGCAAGTACTGTGGCAAGGATGAAATATAGCAGCATTTTGGGCATTTGCTCAATAATATTGCCTAATTTGCTTAAGAAATTTGCAATCTTTGAGTTGGGTTGGCATGTGTCTTCTTAAATAATGCGATTCTTTGTCACACCCCTTGTTAAGGATATAATTACTTATGGTGCCAAGTAAGTACTGCGTTGTTATCTTGTTGACACTTTTCCTTTTCCAATAATTTTGGTAAATCGTGACCCTCGATGCAATACGGAATATCCATTATTAATTCGGAAAATGACCTTTTTCTCTTTTGTTTTTAGGATGCGTTTGATAGATGGATTTAGAATCATGATTTTAGATCTTGATTTAGAATCAGTATTTATTTACAGTGATTCTAAATCATGATTCTGAATCAGTATTTAATTTGGATGATTTTGAATCATAATTTAAAATCTGATGTGATGTTTTAAACTATCTCAAATCATGATTTTAAAACCGCATCCTCTTAAATGTAATTCAAATCCTTAATTATGAATCATGATTTTAGAATCATAATTTAAATTCAAAATCATGAATTATTGTTATGCTTTCAAAATCAGGATTAGAATTATATTGATTTAAATTCTCATACCAAACGAACTCTTAAATTCAAAATAGAATGAGAAAAACATATATAAAAAAGAAATCAAACAACGAAAACAACAACAACAATTGTCATATCACATATCTAGGAATGGCACCCACAATTAATATATATCTATGCTTTTTGAGTAAATCTAAATTAACTACTCAATTTATGAGTCACGAGTGGAAAGAAACTAATTTATTATTTTTAAAAAAGATAAAATAATTTTAATATATTGTGTTATAGTGAAATATGCTATTGATATTTTGTATTTTTAAAAATATTAAAACCGTGCTTGACGATTTAGAAAATTTTTTTTCGTACCTTTAAATTGTCATTTCTACCCTCTCATTAATTAAATGGAAACCATTTTTAAAACAAATATTTTTAAGACGTTTAAAAGAAAAAAAAAAAAAACCAAAGAGATCATATCTGGATTTGAAAAAAAGTCATATCTAGGTTTCTCCTTCCTCCTTGGCGTCCAGCCTCTCCGCCATGGCCGTCTGTCCACTCCCCACCTTGTCCCCCGTCGCAGCGACCCAACGACGCAATCCCCTCCCAGTCCCAGATCTGCTTCCATTCTTGCGACCCCGTTGAGATCAGCTTTGCTCCCTTCCTTTTCGCCCCAAATCTGCTTACTATTTGATTCTTTGGATGCTATCTCTGAGAATTTTCAATTAGCTGTTAGATTGTTGAGTTTGTAAGCAACATATTATGGGTTTCTTCATAAAGGGATTGTTAAGTTTTAGGCAGCATATTGGATACGGGTTTCTTCATAAAGTTGGGTCTTCCCGTTAAACTTTGAAGATTCCTTGTGCACATCGTTGATGTGGTATATGATTTTCAATTTTACTATTTTTTTTTTTTTGGATCTTAGGGTCTGGTTATTTTTTCTACTTTTGATTTACATATCTTAGTGTTATTTTGATTTTGGTAGATATGTTTTTTTTTTTTTTTTGATAATGGTAGGATCTAAATTGGTTTTTTTTCTAATTTTTCTTGATGCTTGAAAATTAGAGGAAGATCAGTTGCTACGTAATCTTGTTTCAATTTCAATTGATTTTTGGATTTTTATGAAACAGGAAAGGAAGGTGCTCTTCTAAAATTTAAAATGTTTTCAATTATTTTCAGAATTTTTTCTCAATTTATTAATTTTTAATTAATTAAATAGAAGGATAGTAAAGTCATTTTATATTTTAAAAATTAATTTTAGTGTATCAAAAAGATATTTTTAAGAACGTGAAGGCACCATTTTAATATTATTAAAAACACAAGATATGAATACGTTTTTGTATAACACACTTTTTAAAATAATTCAACCATTATATATTGAAATTAAAAAATACTGTTTGAACCAGGGTGAGGTGCAATCTTATATCATTGAACCTACACAAAGGTCATTTTGGTACTCAAGTTCAAATAATAACAAACGTCTGAATTCAAATATATACTACTTTCTATGTTTGTATTTTAATGTAAAATATTATGCGTGTTGTTTCATAAATGCTTTTTCATTACACTACACATAGCCACGTACACATATATACTCGTTACATAGATAATTATATTGGGAAAAATAAGATAAACATAAGTGTTATTTAGTTTGTTTGCATATTTCCTATAATTTCACTTAAAGATCCCTAGTTTTTCAGGTAAATATATGTAATCTTTTTACACTAGATAAATATATGTAATTTTTTTAATGCTTTCTGATATCGATATTGACGTCAACATACCTATAATATTTTCGTAAATTCGAAACCACGATATTTCCGTCGATATGAAATAATGCACTTAAGGAATTTTATTAGGTAGGTCACTTGCACTTTGACAAACAACATAAAGTGGGTTACGTTTTTTATATATATTACATGACTTTGCACGTACGTGCTTGTTACCAGCCAGGCAGCCACCTCATAATAACATAATTTTCTCGTGCTGGGTTTACAAAGCCACTATTTTTGTCCCGGGGGTATCCCAAACTAATAAATTAACTAATTCCATGGAGGGAAGCCTGTGCCAGGCAAACACAATCTCTAATTTTTTTTTTTTTTTTTTGTAAATCTCTAATTAATTATTTAATGCTGAAAAGCGTGCTGCAAGTTGGAGAAGAAATCTCACGACTTACGCGCTAAATTTGTGCTCGCAAGGGCATGAGTTGCCTTAAGTAATAAAGTGTGTAAATAAGAGTGTCGATCTCATGAGAAATGTGTTTAATTTTTGTTAAGTATTAAAATTGATCGACTCTAAGATTATTTGAACGACTAGAATACGTAATGAATAAAAATAACAAAGCAAATAAAATTAAGTGATAAAACAAGTAATAAAAATACTAGAGCATCAATTCCACAATAATTAATCTGCGCTATTTTATTACTAAGTGAATTTCCTAATTTATTAGTCAAGAACCCTTAATTAACCCAACCTCTCCTAAGCATCAAATTGGATATTATGTTCAAAACTCAATTCCAATATCCCTATAAAAAAAACTAAGTAATTAACACTCATTAAGCTCTAATTCTCCTAATGACTACGAAGATAATTTAGGCCTCCCAAACTCTAAAAACCTAAGTTGTACAATCCAAATCGGATGTATAAATGACCTCTTTCAAGCGTCAAACTCATTCATTAAATCAACTAATTCATTTCCCAAAAAAATAGAAGCATTAAAAATGAGACAACACAAATAAACCATAAAAAACCACTTAAAATAAATTAACACGTCATAATTAGAAAAAATCCAAGCTCCAACAAATAACTATTACATAACCAAAACTAAACAAACTAAAATCAAGGGTTCACCATTTACAAATCACAAAAATAAAGAGATGAGAATAGGAATGAAAAACCCAGTTTAGAGTTGTCACAAGCTCCAAGATCCTCTTTCTTTGTAACGACACAAAAAAAAAATCAAAGGTCCATTTTAAAGTTCTCGAGACTTAGAAGGTGAATTTTCCCGTACTCACACGTTTGTAATACAATTCCTGTAAGTCATGAAATTTTTGCGACCTTGATATATGTAACGTCAAGAAAATTCAATAGTAGGATTCTTGAAAATTATCCGGATTTAGACTATGAATTTTCTTAGTAACTTAGTTAATCATGAAATTGGAATCTATGAAATGATAATTATGCCACTTTATTTTGTGTCAATTCAATTAAATTGTCCTGTGTACAATTCAATATTCATAAATTATGATCTTATGGGATGAAATTCAGGAAATAAAAATATTTCGTGAATTTCAGAATGGAAGTAAAGTTACAAGATTAATAAACAAAATTACAATTTCCGTTAAGATGTATTTCAATATGAGAGTTTAACAAATTTTCGTAATTAAATTTCAAAAGAAATTCAAGAGCAACAATAATAGATAATTCTCTGTAGCATCAGTGTTAGAAATAGTACATTTGATCTTGCCAAGCACATGGCATACAGTCAGTAAAATTAAAGATCTACTATCAGTATAAAAATTACACTGCAATTACCTTTGAGTTGATAGAATAATAGATGATTTGATCAAAAGATGATTTAGATAGGATTAGGATAAGATAAATCCAACTGCTAAGTTTTAAAGTAAGTATTGATCTTAAGGCTAAGATTGAAGTTTGATATATATATATATATATATATATATGTGTGTGTGTGTGTGTGTGTGTGTGTGTGTGTGTAGATAGACAGATTTGAAGGATAGGAAAAGAATGGAGAAATTTCATTAGTTTAAGTATATTATGATCACTATGAGGTCAAAAAGGTTTTGCATGAAAAGAGTATACCATGCATAAATCAAAGGGTTAGGAATTATATAAAGACAAAAGAATTCATGAACAATCTCCACTTTCACCATTTTAGTACCTCCTATCAAGATTAAAAAAAAGAAAGAGAGAAACTATGTGAATCTAAAGTCCAATACTTCACATAAGGGAACTATACAAATATCAAATCACTAAAGTTACCCTACAAGTGTTGGAGAAATCAGCTAGTGTGAACTAGTGCTGGAACTTTGGACGGGCCGCCCGCGACCGCCCGAAAAATCCGAGGATTTGCCCGAGCCCGAACCCGACCCGCCCGAGATTTTGGGGCCGCCCGCCCGAGCCCAAATTTCACCTTGAACGGGCCGCGGGCTTGTATTCGGCAGCCCGAGCCCGCCCGAATTGCCCAAATTTTTTAAACTTTTTTTTAATATTAAGTTATTTATATATATATATATATATCAATA